GGGACTCTGAGAAAGGCAATGGAAGGATCACCCCGAGGCCCTTTCCTAAAAGAGAGGAGTAGCGGATGGTACCCCGTAATTGGGCGGGGGGGGGGGCGGCGTAGGAGAGAAACCCAGCAGACCAACTGAACAGCATCTTGCAGCTTGCGGAAAGATGCTCGCGCAGCAAACGGGCTGGGCAAAGGGTAGCGTGGGACAACTTATGCCCAGAACCGAAGCAACCACCGGGCGAGCTCAGGGCGCCCTCGCCAAGTAGAAGGGACCCTTTCCTATCCCTGGTAAGCCTTGGGGAGGCTCCCTACGGGATAAGGGGGCAGTCTCGCAAACGCTCGGCCGATGCTTTCCAGGGTCCAAGCCCCACGGCCCCCTCCCCTCCCGCGCCGTCCAGTGACGTCAGCGCTCCCTGTTGTTGTTATCCCGCGGCCACGAGATCGGCGTGTTGCGCGCGCCGCGTTTTTCGGCCAAGCCGGCGGCGGCCACCACACTATCGCCGCCGCGCTGGACGTTACTCCAACGCCCCCCCCTTCCGAAGGGTGATATTTCTCCCCCTTTCACGGACCCCTCCTAAAGTCATCCAAACAAGGATGGAGGGAGGAAGAACGCATAACAAAAGCTGAGGTAGTGAGACCCTCCGCCTGCTCTCCCCCCCCCCATTACGCGCCAATGCTCGCCTCCCGGCGCTGGTGGAAGGTTTGCCGTGCAAAAGAAAGGAAGGCGCAACACGCCGCCTCCCGCCCCACCGTCATCATCACCTCCTCCTCCTGAAGGCTGGGGCGGGAAGAGAAAAGCAGATTTGCAGCGGGATCAGTGCGGTGGGACAATAAGGCAACATTTCCATAACAAGAGAAAAGGGTCTGGCAGCAAAAGTTGCATCCCGGGGCTGAAAAACATCCCTTTGCTCCGCGCTCCCCACGCACGCGCACCTCCCCTCCCCACGCTCCTTTCTTTAGCCATCGGGATCGTCTCCTAATGGGGGGGAAAATACCAAAAATAGTGAAAAGCCAGACACGGTCCAGGCGTGCAGGCGTGAATGTAAGCCAATCTGCACCGCCCGACCCACCACCACTAAACCTTCCCGATCCCCCCACAGTCGAGCTTTGTTTTTGGGGGAAAAAAGGGGGGGAAGCTGCCTGCAAAGTAGCACGGAATAAAATTCCTTCGGGAGAAGTTGCTTCGGAAGCAGGGCCTTGCCAAACCCCGGGCGGGCGACACCCTCATCCGCTTGTTTACATTTGCAACTTCTCCGCTAACGTGCTTTTTTTCTCCACCCTCCGAGAAACCCGGCCCGACTCGGGCGAAAGTTGAAAGATTCCCCCAGGGAGGAGAAAAGAGTCGGCCGCCCTCCTTCTCCAGCGCCGGCCAGCAGCGTTTGCAAACTGGTTTGAAAAGAGCGCTCTGGTCTGTTCAGCCACCGGGTAGTTGCCGCCAATAAACGCGGAGGAGATCGCCCAGATCTGGCTGGAAAGAACGCTTTTCAAATCACGCAAAATCGTCCTACGGCGCTGGGTAGGAGCCGGCGGTGCTCCTCAACGCCCGCAGGATTTTGGATAGCCGTTCCAACACCAGGCGTTATCTTGAAAAGAGGGTGCAAGGGGAGGGGGGGGACAGATGGAGGAACCGCGCGCATAAAGGAATCCCCAGGGAACTTGTAAGAGGAGGAAAACGAGAGCGGAGGGCTCTTGTTTGCAAGGTCCTGCATTCTCCCACCCCCCACCCCTTTCCAAGCGAAGCATCGCCTGGCGAGAGCCGGGACCAAAGCCCCGAGGCCTCGCGCGCCCTGCGCCTGTGCTGGAGGGAAAATGAGATTATCTTTCGCCGGGGCGAAAAGCCGGAGCACGCGAGGCGAAGGGGAAAGCAGAGCTGCGCTATCCCCTCTTCTCCGGCTCAGCTTTGTTTCTCTCTCCCCCCCCCCCCAGCACATGCCCTCGCGGGAAGCAGCCTTGCGCTCCTAGAAGCGCACCGGCCTTTCGGGTCTTTTCCAACGGGACACCGCTGGAAACACCCTCCCGTGTTTCAATTCGCGATCAAAACACGCGGCCACGAGAGGGGAAGCAGAAGGGAGAAGCCGCGGTTGCCCCCAGTGGCTCCCGCAGCGCCAAAGTGCGCTTGTTTTTGTTCCTTTCCCCCTCTCCAGTTAACCAAATCTCACCCCGTTTAACACTCGGGGTATTTCCCCGATTTGGGTGTTTGCACATCGGGTTTGATGCTGCTGGGAATCACTATTATTATTATTATTATTATTATTATTATTATTATTATTATTATTATTATTATTATTACTATTACTATTATTATTGTGAATAATAGGATTATTATAAGGCCCAGCTCACGCACACCCTTTTTCTTTTTTAACAAAGGAGGAGGGGTGCCCTTCGCAAACTTTTCCCGATACTTACGTGTGCAAATGCTTCCCCAAAGGAAGGCGAAAGTTAGCCACGAAATCTTCATTGTCTCTTTTCTCTCTCTCCGTCTCTTCCTTCTGTTTCTTGCCTGCTGGTGCGAGGAAGGGTCGGCGGGGGAAACGAACGGGCGACTGGAGGGAGGGAAGGCAGACTTCAAAAAGCTGGCCCCGTCCTTCTCAGCAACAATGAAAGGGGAGGATTGAAATCCTTCCCGGCTCTCGGATAAAGCAATCAAAGTCCCGCAACAGGAGAGCCAAGAAGATACGTCGGGGCGGCTCTAAATCCTCAAGACAGGTGGATCGCAGGCTGCCCGGTCGGCTCCCGGCGCAAGGCTGCCGCTCCAATTCACAGAGGTGCGTCGATCAGAAGAGGATCTGCTTCTCCGGATCTGATGGGTCCTGGTGGCAGAGAGGCCAGGCAAGCTCTCCGCCAACCGCCCCGTCCCCAAAGCGTTCCTCTCCTTCTGGGTCTTCTTATTCAGCAGCCGCGGCGGTAGGAGGAGGAGGGTGGGCAGAGGAAAAGCCGAGGAGGCGGAGGAGAAGGCGCGGCGTAACCCCCACACCAGAATTGCCCGTCCCCTCCCCCAATTAAATTAAATCTCCCTCGCTCGCGCGCGTCTAAGTCCAGAGCAAGGGGCGGCGACAGCCAGCAGAACAAACTTTGCCTCGGGGAGTCCAGAGGCTCTCCAGAGCAGGCAGCACTCAGGCAACGGCGGCTGCCAACATCGTTATCAAAACGGAGCGTGAGTCGCTCCTGCGGCTTCGGTCACGTCCTCCTCCTCTTCCTTCAACACCGCCGCCGCCGCCGCCTATGCCGTTCGGGCCGAGAGAAGAGGTGGCGAAGGCGCTGCTGCTGCTGCTGCAGGGGACAGACGGAGCGCGATAGGCAGCCTCGCTTTCGGGCATCGCTCGCCGGCTCGGCCGCTCGGGAAACGGGCGAGCAGCGTGCCTACCGCTACGAGCGGGAGGCGAGACTGTGGCTGCAGTTGCCATGAACAGGCAGGCAAAAGCAGGCAGGCGCGCTCACGAGCCCGCCCCGCGCGCCTTCGAGCCCGCCCCTGACCCCCCCCCCCGTTCGAGGGGAGGGGGGGTGGATGGAACGGAGGATGAGGTGTGGTGTTTGGAGGAGAGGCAGGAGCCCGGATGTTCGGTGCAAAAGTGGGGGCCAGAGCAAGGGAGGCGGGACCAGGGGGACGATGCTCGGCAAATGACTGGGGCGGGTAGCTGCCCGTCAGGGTGCCCGCGAGGATAGGACTAGCCCCGGAGGAGAGGCGAACGGTAGGTAGCGCGCCCGTGCCCGCGCCTTGGCGTCCGAGAGTTTGGCGGGTGGCAGCCCGCCTTCGCCCCTGGAAGGGTGAGCCGCGATGAAGAGCTGTACGGTCGCTGGCCTCTCTGTGGCGCCTACACGTGTGGTTGCGCGCACACGTGCCCCTAATCGGAGGCCAGCCGCTGTCCAAATCAAGTAACGCAGGGCGGTCCTGCCCGGAAGGAAGTCCTGCGAAGTGGAGGGGGATTTGCTCCCCCATAAAGCACTGGAGTGGGGCTCGAGGACTTCCGATTCGGAAAACCTTTGGCCCGTGAGCGTCTCCACACAGGCGTGTATCCTGGTCTCCAGAATATCACCTTCGTAGCGCCAAAGGAAGCGATCCCATATTAGAAGGGGAATGCGTTCTAGGGGTTTCTTGGGCCGCTAACATCTCCAGGAGAACTTGGGTTACTGATTCCCGCCAGCTGCAGGCTTGCGAGGGGTCCTGAATTCAACTGTCTCCTCGGAGTTCTGGTGAGCTCCAAAATGTGCCAGCTTTATTTCACCTACTAAAGGCAATAGAATAATGGTAAAGTGGGGCAAACTAAGTGCAAGCAGACTTGTTTAATTCTTGGATAGGCGACCACAAGGAAATCCCAGATGCCAAAGATGCAAGAAATAAAGATCCATGAAGCCAACCCTGCCATAATGTTGCAGAGAGCCACCTGGATGGACTGGTTTAATTGCCAAGCTCACCTTACCGAAGATTTGACCTTCACATAGTGTCATTATCTCTGTTCCCCATTGCAATAATTAATAGCAGGATCATTCAAGGAGAATGGCCCCAGAGAGATCCACATTGGATCAGTGCTATAGAACCTTTGTCTCTTTTCCTCCTTTCCTTCCTGCTATTTTCATACTGAAATCAGAGTTTGGTTGAAAATGCATTGCTGTGGTTCTGCTATTTTCATTTTATTTATAAAACTTACATGCTACCCATCTCACTATCCAAAGGATTCTGCTATGTTCAAAGCCTCATCTTCTTAAACGTAAAAGTTCCCCTCGTACATACGTGCTAGTCGTTCCTAACTCTAGGGGGCAGTATTCATCTCTGTTTGAAAGCTGAAGAGCCAGTGCTGTCATGTGGCCGGCATGACCAAATGCCAAGGGCATATGGAACGCTGTTACCTTCCTACCAAAGACGTTTCTTATTTTCCTACTTGCATTTTTACATGCTTTCGAGCTGCTGGGTTGGCAGAAGCTGGGACAAGTAACAGGAGCTCACTCCATTACCCAGCGCTAGAGATTCGAACCGTCAACCTTTCTGATCAACAAGCTCAGTGTCCTAGCCACTGAGCCACTGCATCCTATTGTCTTCATTACTGACTGCTAAAGGGGCACCAAAGAATAAGCGGTCCTTTGAATTAATATTAGGAAAAACAGCAGAACAAGCCAGGAAGCCCAAGAGGCAAATCAACCTCCAACCAAATTGGGCATATTTGGCTTTTCAAAGCTGGAGGAAAAGTGATTCTGTTTTATTCTTTACCCCCTGGATGTTCTTGGGGTGGCCTGATACCAGCATTCAATCCTGAACCAGATGTTGCAGACCCCATGGGTGAAACCTCTGGTCTAAATTCGGATTTTCAGCTGTCTTCCTGACTTTCTGTAATCCCCTGCAGGATAGATTTCTGCAACACTGTACACCATACAGAATTTTCTAAAGAGTTATTTTGTGTCACCATGGCTGTTTTTTATTTGGTTTTTTTACAGGTTGTTCCCTCCCAGATGGATATATTATCCCATTCTGAAGTCTGGTCTTCTCTAGATAGGTCAATACAGCATCTTAACTCTTCATGTAGAGGTAGCAGTTTGTGGGGAAATATTCCAGCCAACAGGGCTAAACCGTGAAGGATGCTAGCGAGATGAAGTTAAGCAACATCTGAAGGTTACACATGGCTCACCCTTGTGTTAGGGGAAGGTTGGGGAAAATACTTGAGCTATCTCTTATCTATAGCATATGCATGTTCTTATCTGGTAGAATGAGTCCAAAATGATCAAGGTCTTTTGAAGACACCTGAAAAAAATATTCATATGGAGAGTCTTTTATTTTTCTTTCTTTTCCTACTTTCTTTCTCATCTTTATTTTAATAAGCAATTCAAGATGCTGATCGTACCTCATATTCCTCCTCTTATTTTCCCTACAACAAGAACCTGTGGCAAAGGATGGGCTGAGAAAAAGTGATTGCCCCAAAGTCACCCAACCACTTTTCACAGCTAAGGTGGGACTTGAACTCACAGTTTCCAAGTTTTTTGCCTGGTGCCTTAACCACTAGACCAGTGTTTCTCAACCTTGGCAACTTGAAGATGTCCGGACTTCAACTCCCAGAATTCCCCAGCCAGCGAATGCATTCGCTGGCTGGGGAATTCTGGGAGTTGAAGTCCGGACATCTTCAAGTTGCCAAGGTTGAGAAACACTGCACTAGACTAAACTGGTGGAATATATAAGTGGAATTGTAAATGAGGAGGAGCTATACAGACCCTTATTCCATGTGTAACCAAGTCTCATCTACCACATCTATGATCTCCGAGAAATTTTTTAGAAGTGTCTCACACCTACCTGATAAATACTTTTGATTGTAGGTAGGCTGTTCCCTCAACAAGTTCTGGTGAAGAGACTGTTTTGCTTCCACTTCTTGCAACATATCTGTGGCCTGATTGAAATAAAAAGTGTGTGTGTAAGAGAGGGCGAGAGAGAAAGAGAGAGATTTTGTCTGAGTGCAGCATTTCAGGCTCTCCCACCATGAAAAAAAAAACCAACCCTGCTGTCTTGAGTTCCAGTTTTACAAGCACATTCCTAGTCAAGAGGGGGAAATGGTCCTTCTACAGATAGTAGGAATTTCAAGACCAATCCAGTTCCCTGGAGTAATGTCACTATTATGGGCCCAACTCACCTCGCAGGATTGTTGTTATGGGGAAAACTATCAGCTATCTTTGCTACCTAGAGTCATGAAGAACAAATGTTCACTTAGGGAAAGAAAGAAAGCACTCATCAAGGATTATAAAGACATTAATCCATTTCCTATAGGGTGGGGTTTTTTTAAGGGAGGCAGAAAGACCCCTATACCTATATCTGTGTCAAAGTCAGAAAGCAAGATGGATTTAAGAAAGGGGGGTGACACTTATCCTCTGAAGGAGATGGGAGAAGGTAGAATTTTTAAAAAAATGCAAATAAACCTTTAATAGATTTTTATCCCACCTATTTATATAAAATTCTAGGCAGCAACCAGCTCTAATAGGCCTGCCTTATTTTCTCCAAACAACCACCACCATGTGTGGATTGGACTGAGAGAGTGATTGGCTCAAAATCACCCAATTGGCTTTCATGCCAAAGGTAGGACTAAAACTCACTGTCTCCTGGTGATTGACCCAAAGTCACCTAGCCAGCTTTCATGCCAAAGATGGAATTAAAACTCACAGTCTCCTGGTGATTGGCCCGAAGTCGCCCAGTTAGTTTGCACACCTAAGGCAGGACTAGAACTCCCAGACTCCTGGTTTCTAGGCCAGCACCTTCAGTACCACATGAAGCTGCCTCTCAATGTCCTCTGTTAAATATCTTCCAGGCTAGTAAAAAGTATAACCAATCCTTGCCGAGTAATTGAAATGTTCATGCTATGCCCATTTATCAGTAGACATTTTCTTGGAAAAACAAAGTTGAACTTTCTTTGCCTTGCTTGGCTTGTTCTCAGGAACCTTAAACAAAGCCACAAAACATTTGCGAGAGCGTGGTTGTTGGAAAGATTTGACTTGAATCTGTGGAGATACACAAGTTGCATCTTGGAACTTGGAACGGGCAAGGATTAAAGGCAGGAGGGGGAGAGAAATTCACAAGATATAAACACAGTGATTGAATTGTGTAAGGCTGTGATAGGAAACATCAGATATACTAGGGGTGTAGCTAAAGGAGAAAGTTAAGAAATCAACATCCTGAAAGAAAGCAAGGGTGTGCCACTTCTGAATATTTGCCAAGAAAACAGTGTGCAACCATTCCTAGAATCACCAAGAATCCAGAAGGACTGGAAGAAGATTTTTTCCTCTAGGAGTAAAGGAGGTGTACTTTCATTGATCATCTATCCCACTTTGCTGTTGTGAATGCATTATGAATTTTGAGAACATGTTGTGGATGCTCTCACAAAATGACTGCTAAGGTAGGCTTGATCGGCGTGGTAGGGGAAGGTTACTGCAAAATCCATTCCCACCCCACTCTAGAGCCAGTCAGAGGTGGCATTTGCCGGTTATCCGAACTACTCAAAATTTCCGCTACCGGTTCTCCAGAACCGGCTGGATTTCCCGCCTTTTTTTTTTTTTTTTTTGTAAAAAGTTTTATTTTTTCCTTTCCATATACATACACAAATATGAGTATTCTTAATATTTATCTATTATCTTCTAGCATTTATCACAACCTGTTTAAAAACATAAAAAAACACAATTGGTATCGCTTTCTTACCATCCCGCATCTCCATCTTATTTTGCAACAACCCTACTTCCCTCTGGTTTTATTATTGCTTCCCACCCTAGTACACATTCTGTCTCTCAGACTCTAAAGCAGTGGTTTGTCAAACTTGTTAAGCTATATGGACTTCAATTCCCAGAATTCCCCAGCCAGGATGGGGAATTCTGGGAGCTGAAGTCCACTCATGTCAACCAAGGGATTCTGAGACTTGAAGTCCATATATCT